ACTGATGGGCGTGGTTTATTTCTAAAAAAGCATTTATCTTCTGAGTGATTAGTTTTTGAGCAAATTGAACATTGCTTTTTTTGAATATTAGAGTCCCTATAATTATATGGCGAATAATTTATTTGTGACATATTGTTCATTGGATTTGATGGGGAATATGATTGGTTGTACTGTGTTGGATTTGTGTTCCAATATGGTGTATTATTATATGAAGTATTATGTGTTTGAGGTTCTTGTGTATGCCATTGTTGATTGTTAAACTTATTTTGCTCTTGTTTATTTTTAAGTGCGAGTGAATTATTTTGTTCTATGTTACTTTGGTGTTGTTTATTTTGTTCATTGTTTATAAGTTGGCCACACATAATTTTTAAGTTATTTAATTCTACGCGTAATTTATCGATTTCATTTTCTTTTGTGGTTTTATTGGTGTTAATTTGTTGGAGTTTAGATTTTATTAATTCTGTTTCGAAATCAAGTGAAGTTTTAGGAGTGTCACCTGTAATCATAAATTCAACCATTTCATATTTCCGCACATTACTTTTTAATTCTGTTAAATTTTCATTTCCCATTATTCCTATGTATCGTGCTATGGAGGGGTTTAAGCCTTTCATTATATTGCGGACCATTTCCTCTTGTGACATTTTACTATCAATGCGCCTACATAATGATTCAGCATCGTTAATGTAAGATACCGTGTGTTCATCTGGAAGCTGTTTACGTTTTTCTAACATTAATCGGAGCATATCGGTCTGCGCTATTGGTTCAAATTCTAACCTAAATTTTTTTTTCTAAATCAGCCCATTTTAGGTCTTCACCACTATCTATTATGTTATCATAAAAAGTAAGGGCGGAACCTTCCAAAAATACAGGGATGTATTGAGTTTTTTCGGCTTCAGACCAACCATTTATGATGGCAGCTCTGTCATATTTTTTTAGAAATGTATCGATGTTTTCAGAAATAGCACCTGTGAAATTGCTTGGTTTGAAATATGGTTTTTTATTCTCAGGCATACTGTTTTTTATTAGATTACCGTTAGATTTGTCAATTGGTTCTGAGATAAATGATATATTGGTTATTTGCGTATCGAAATCGTCTGAAATGGCTTCCCCCTTTAAATATTTTTGTAACCTAGTTTTTAGATCTGTAACTAAACCGGATGTTTTTAGGTGTCTTCTAGATAATTCAGTTATTAATTTCTCTTTATTGCATTTATTTATCCAACTTGTTGAGATAGTGGTAAAGTCGATATCTGGGAATTTAATGTTATCCTGATGGGGGGTTTGGTCGGAATTTTGCATATGTGAAATTTATTATTAAATGTATTAGAATAATATAATAATAAAAAAAAATTCTTTATTGTTAATTGAAAAGTTAATGAAAATTAATTAATTATTTTGGATTTTATTTATACTAATATAAAAGATTAGAAAAGTTAATGAAAATTAATTAATTATTTTGGATTTTATTTATACTAATATAAAAATGTGACGAATAGTTATTTGTATAAGTATTGTTTGATTATGATTTGTATTCATCTGATGAATTATATCTATATATTTTTATATTAAATAATTATGTTATTTTGTTAATTTCTTTTAAGGTTTAATTATTAGAATCTCGTAATAAATATTTGTATAATAATTCATGTATAATATATAATTATAATATTTTTTTTTTGATTAAATAATGCAAGTATGAATTGTTATACAATTATATATTCGTTTTAGGTATACATTTTTACTTAGTGATTAAATTGTAGTCACTTAATTTATACAAAAAAAGAAAATTTGTTGATGTTAAGGTTTGAATGATATATTATAATTTATTAAATGATTAAATTTTTCGTTTTACTGGAAAAGGGGAAATTTTAGTTTGTTTTCTTATTATAATAACTAATAATACTTAATGTATACTGTATATTGTATTATATGTAAAAATAACAAATATATATTTTTTATATTGGATTTTAGGTTAAGTTATTAAATTAATTAATTTTGTTTTACCTAAAAAAAAAAAATTGTATCTTAGTTTTCTTTTTTTTTTTTTTAATTAATAATAATAGGTATTTACTATAAAAATTCAATTGTATAAATTATTATTAATATAATATAATATATTATAAATAAGATGTTACCTACTTCAATTTAATAGAATAATTTTATGAATGTACCTATAATATATATTTTTTTAGTTTTAGTTTTTAGTTTTAGTTTTTAGTTTTAGTTTTTTTAGTTTTAGTTTTTAGTTTTAGTTTTTAGTTTTAGTTTTTTAGTTTTAGTTTTTAGTTTTAGTTTTAGTTTTAGTTTTTAGTTTTAGTTTTAGCTTTAGTTTTTAGTTTTAATGTTGTTACTTATTATGTTTTATTATAAATAAGTAAATTTTTATAAGCTTATAAGCCTTTTAATTTTAATTTTAGTTATTATTGTTTTTCTAAGTTTTATTTTTAATTTTTTTTTTTTTTGGGTTGATAATTTTTTTAACATAAAATATTTATTTTTAAATTTAATAATAAAATATTAAAATCTTATATCTAATATAATTTTGTAAAATGTATTTGATCAATTCTCAGTTTATTTATCTGAATAAACTGAACTTTGTTGGGCGCCACTGTGTAATGACTCAACAATTACGATATAAAATAAAATACGACGCCTGTCGATAAATATATTAAAATCGTAAGACTAAGCAATTACCTTCCTCCAGGTGTTCGGAGGGCTCTCGAGATCGTGTTTTCGAGAATTAGATCAAATACACTATACAACACAATTGTATATAAACCATGCACAGATAATATAACAAATGCAATTAATATAAAATATTATATTAATTGCCTTACCTGATCCGCAGTCGATTATGAATTATCTTGTAAGGGTTTTAATAGACACAGAGTAATATTTTTTAAAGTATAAATCGAAATAATAAACGCACTGATTATTGCTCACATAAGGAGTCCAGAGTGTCGCTCGTTGAAATCGGTTTCTTTTAGACTTTTTTGTGAGGTTGTTACTCGGTGAATGGTGCTCATGCACTGGTTTAAGGGATGACGAGAAGATGCTGACCAGAGAGTGGTAGGCGGCTTTATCAAAAGGTTATCGTGAGCTTGGGAACTAGATTATTCTTTGGCGGCAGATACCCTTTTTTCCTTTCCTTTTCTCTGGCGGCATCGTATAATAAAGTCACACACCCTGCGTTTTACCGTTATGAGTGCGTGCCGATATCTTAGTTGTCGTTAATAATGGTTTTATTTGATGTGACCGATTTCTACAAACGACAGTCTGGCCGTTATTTATTAAGTATTCTGTAAGATTTTAGTTTATTATAATGGTGTGTGAGCATATCATTACAGAGCCATGTGCACGACCACCAAATAAAAAATTGAAAAAAAATCCAAAGAAGACTGCGACATCGAATTTTGGATCCTCTTTGTTGAAAATATTAGAAAACCGCCAAAAAATACCAGAAGACCCGGAAAAATCTTTTTTGTTGTCATTACTCCCTCAAATTAAATCGTTGGACGAAGACCAAAAAACTCGGCTGTATGTTGAATTTTTAAATGCCATACAACGAGTAAAAAACTGCTCTGTAACCCCTACTTATCCTTATAATACACCAAATAATCAACCTTACTCCCCATTCCCCCCTCAACACTATTACACCACAAATAATAATCCTCAAAGTGTATCTTCATCTATTTCTCATCAAACACCACTATCACACATGCCACATTTTAATATTACTCCTCATCAATATGCTTCCCAAAATGTGCCTACAACTATGATAAACAATACTACTATTACTTCTCCACAAAGAGTGAATGATGAATTAAACTATGTTCCACAGTCACCCTCTACTGAAATTCGTTCTGCTCAAAAACAAAACCATTACTATAATTATTAAAAATTAAGTGTACCTGTACCTATTTAAAACATAATTTAATAAATTAAAAATTAAAAATACAAATGTCTACATTCTTAATTTGTATTTAAAAATTATCTACCTCAGTGTCACGGTCAATCGCTCTTCCGGTGATATTGGCACACGCAAACCAGTATGCTGTTTTGACAATTTCGGTCCTACCAGCGATATCTTAAATAACAATTTAATTATTATTATATTTTGTTAAGAAGACGCCACACAGATATTTGTTAATTTATTATAGATAGACGAAAAACAAGGTATTCAAAAGTGGTAGGTAATGAGTATTTGTAACATAATATAAAACATTAAATAAATTTAAAAAAAATATTTTTATTTTTATTGTTACTTAAAAATGACTTATTTCTACTTACCAACTCATCAAACGATGTTATCGACATACGATAATACTTCATAAACTCTTCTGGATAGCTACGCAGAGTCATAAATGTAACCTGGAACTGGCCATTTTCTGGTCTTTTCAGATTAAGTGGATGGACCCAATGTCGTCTTTTTACTTTATTTGGTTTCTGTTTTTTACTTTCATGTTCCTCATATAATGCAAACAAAACGCATGCAGCTTCTATATCGTCTAACACTTCCATATTAAAAAAAATTAAACGAAAACAACGAAAAGTTAAATAAGAAATGAACCGCAGTCATATACGGTGAACGGTAACAACAGTACTAACCTAGTCTACAACAAAATACAAATAATTGAGTGGTTCAAATAACATTTGGCGCTATTTTATTTTTGAAAAACGCTCACAAATCGTCCAGTGTGAAAGCGCAGCGCGATTTTAAAACGTTGACAGACGCGTCGACACGCGTCTAATGTGTAAGGAGCGCGCGTTCGCGTCTTAAAATCGCGATGTTCGAAACGCGCGGAGACGCGCGTTCAAATCGCCTAGTGTGTTATT